ACTGACCTTCAGTATGGCTTCTTTTCTCTTCTTGGGGTAAAAGCAAAGCCTTTCATGCCCTACTTAGACTTATAAACAGACACATTGTGTTAGCATCAATGTCAGCACACCCAAAAGATGTGTGGTAGAAAAATAAAAATAATTGAAAATATAAATATGGTGGGATCAGTAGAGAGAAAGACTGACAGTGAGCGTGAAATCCTGTTTTCTCTCAGAACACACTTCATTTAAAATAGGATGTAGAAAGAAGACTTGGACGGCATAATCCTCACTGAAAGAGTGCAGAAAAACAAAAAAGGCAAAATTCCAAAAAAGATTGTCAGCATAAATTGGCAAACTATGCAAAAGCCACGGCAACGCGTTTTGCATGACGCTTGAAGGTCATCATCAGTGTGCATTTTGATGGGCATGAGCTCTGATCACATTCAATAGGCATCCAGTCTTCTGAGGGGTTTCTCATTTGTTGAGCCATCTCCGCTAGCAGCAGTCTGTTGGCATGCAAGGTGCATGCCACTGTGTTCAGCAAAGGAAGGAATGAACACACGCAGAGTTCCAGCTGGGTATGATTGAATAACCTATTAAATGTGGGCAGTGACCTCTTAAGCCAGCGCAGTGCTCTTAATGTTTCATTAATCTCACAGCTACTTTTAAAACAATAATTTACTTTAATTTTTTTTGTCCTCCTGGCTGGGTGCATTCCAGCCGTAGCCATCGGGTTAAAGAGAGTATTCATTTGCTGTTTGATTTATTGCTTTACTCTGTGTATTGTTTCCCCACCCATAAATTAAATCTATTAAAACAAATGTCAAACACATTAGCAGCTGCTAATGTCACCGCAGAATGCTTCAGGATAGAAAAGATGAGAGACCATAGAGAAAAGCGGCAACTAGAGATGATTAACCTTAACCCGCCTATGGGCAATCCACGGTGAAGGGCTACTGGAGCTGAGAATAAAAGCACTAAGAGATTATTTGTGGAATGTAGAAGGCTGCATATAGCAGAACTCTCACTGAAGCTTCTGGTATGTACGCATAACTGACAAGAAGGTTTTTTTTTTTTTTTCACACAAATCACATTTCGCATGACTGCACGTTGCATAATTAATGATGGTGGAAAAGGTAAAGTTGTAAACATAGAAAAGACAAACATCTGGCTGATGCATCCGATGTTATGTTAGGATATATCGCTCTGCTTCTGTGAACTCTGCGCTACAGAAGAAAAACACGAGAGGCTAAGATCAGAGAATTTTAAGTTCAGAGGAGAATCATTGTGCATTCTGGAGAAACACTCCCTTATGCTCTCCTTAATCTTTTCAGCATGATGCACGACGGGCTTTGTTCTACGATAACACTTTTGGGAGTATCATTCTGGTGTGGTACAATAAGTATTTCTTGAAAAAAAAAATAAAAAAAAAAAGAAAAGAAAAGAAAAGAAAAGAAAAGAAAAATGTATTACTGTGACATCAGTTAGACTAAAATTTTGAACCTTTGCTATCATATTCTGGTCACTTCACTGCCCATTTCCATTCAAATAAAATGTTTTATATTTAGAGCATTTACCCAACACGCTTACTCTTTTATTCCTTATGAGTCAAGGATGAAAGACTCAATCAGATTTGGTGATGAGGATTAGACTAATTTGAACAAATAAGGAGGACTAACGGCATAAGCAGGAACGCTCAGAGGATGAAAACCGAATGATGAGGAACAAAGGCAGTTGCAGGATGTAACCTTGGATATGGATCACTGTGCAGCAGCTGCCCTCCATCAACAGCCCACATGACGCCCATGAAATGTAGCAGGTAGGTAAGAGACATCCGCTCCATCTTACCCCATGCAGCTCCGCAACAACCTGTTCCATTAACTTTCACCAGGAAACCTGAGGTTGGTACTTGAAAATCAGCACCAGCCGGCATCTCAATAGACTGTTCACTGGGATACACAACCGAGACCACATTCGTATTTTCTCCAGATGATTGGCCCAACACTTCATACTGGCCTTTAAATGAAAAATCCCCTTTCTTTTCTTTTTCTTGTGGAAAATGCAAGGCTCTTTAAAGCTAAATGCCAGGATTTATACAGTATTTCAGAAATACCCCTAAAGTCACCATAGGTTATTATGCAGATTTATCTTTAGTTACATTTTATTTTGCTTTGCTGAACAATTTCCACAATGGCCATAGAAAACATAGGTACGTTACTGCCCCTGTAATCGTCCACACAGTGATATTCAGCTGCTGAATATATGCACACACCCTGAACCTGCCTCCTATTACAGATCAGATGTGTTGCAGCATCATGGGCCTGTGTATTCCTTTGTGGTTTCCTGAACCAGGGGGGAGGATTCAATTTGCTGCAGTATGATCTAATCTGAGTCCTGCCGGGTGATAAGCTCTGCTGGTACCTCTGGCTTTCCATGGTTTCCGGAGGTAAGAGAAATAAAGCATGGCAATAAGTAAGTTTACCCGATTGATGTCACTCAACGGCTGATAGGAACTGCTGTGGGGCGAGACTCCAGTGATATACGGGATGATGTGGAGCTGACCTTGGGCCATAGATAGCTCCAATAATAGTGTGTTTCAAAGCTCACCTCTTGGGATCTCTTATGCACCAGCATTATGCGACTATATACACGTACCGTGAAGCCTGAGCGCAAGAGAGAGAGATATCAAAGGTTTACACATCTGGCCCTCTGCTTTGGAGTTGGCAGACTGAGCAGACTGTCAAGGTGTTGCATGAAAAATGATATATTATTGGTGTCATTAAAAGGGAGTTGGCTGGACAGTAATATGAGAAAGAAGGCCTTAATGGGAAACAGTGGATCCGGTTCTTAACGCACAGCAACAATGTCTGAGATGTGGTGAGTGCTTGGCAGAGCGTGTGAATCGTTCTGAATGTAGATATTAATCAGGATGCGGTGTTAGACAGCTGCCACCCTGGGAGCCAGCAGCTCTGGTGTCAAATCCCCTTCAGTGATCACAGAAGGAGAGGGATACTCTGCTCTGGGACTGTGCATCCCTGAGCATCACACAGTTCGCGACTGATGTTTTGGCAGATGCCCTTGTCAAAAAATATCATAATGCAAGCTGTTGGTGTGAATCAGGACGCGCACCAATCTCCCGTGTATGGTATTTGACAGAGTTAGCAGATGTACATTGGAAGTACCTATTGTGATGCTGCCCAATGGGAATATCACTCTAATGTGCAGTATGAGAGTTATAGGAGGAGAGCGAGTGTGGCAAAAGCTAATCTTGGCCAGTGGACGGCCAGAGGAACAGGAAGAGAGACAGACTAGAAAGTTGATCGTCTATGCTGTGGGGCAGACATTAATTTAGTGGAGGTTTTATGACCACATACTGATCGATAGCAAATCTAGATGGAGTGGGGGGCCCTGGGTCTGGACTTAATTGTTCTCTATGCTTCTCATCAAGTCAGAATCCATTTGAAAATCATTTTATCAATGGACGGGCACTAGGGTTAGATATAATTGCCTTCCCTGTGCGACAAGGTAAGAGATTACAAGTTTGGCGGCATCGCAGGGAACAAACAGATTTACAATCTTAATTTGTCAAAGCTGATGAAAACAGCAGCATTTTCAAACACTCGTGTGGGATGGGGTGGTGGTGCTTCTTTTTATGAATTTTTTTGAATTCATCAGGAAGGTTTGAACACACAGATAAAACTTGTAGACCAAGAATAGTTTGTTTTATGAAGAGAAGCATCTGATATGTGCCGCGATCATAAAAACTCCTGTTAGGTGCAGCTATCGTGGAACTCCCATTGCTCACTGTAGAACTTAATTAACACCAGTGGGCACACACACGTGTAAACATCAGCCTTCACACACTCCTCTCTGGGTTTACCCTCCTTGATATCATGTGTTGGAGTCATGTGGGTCTGATTATTACAACTGTGCGTTGTTCTCTCTCTTTCTGAGAGCACACTTGTTTGCACTTTAACAAATGCCATGAGCCGATGAAGATGAAGAGGTGCACAATTAAAACACATTAATAACAACTGCACACACATACAAAACACCAGTAGTAGTAGTGCAGTTTGAAGTTTTAGTTATGCATGCAATTCTCAGGGATGGTGTTCTGAAAAAAAAAAAAAAAAAAAAAAAAAAAAAAAAAGCTGTTTTGAGTGAGTTAAATCTCGATGGATGGAAGCCAAAGAACAACAGTTCTGAGGATTTTCTATCCAGTTAAAAAAACAGAGCAAGAAGCTACAAACCAAATAAAATACAATTTGTCACATTAAAAAATAGTTTTAAGAACGAGTTGGAAGAGAAGATAGATACCACTCTCATGTTTGAATAGTAAATATAAAGCTAGAACCAGCAGCTAGTTAGGTTAGCTTTGCTTGTTAATAGGGAAGCCACTCCATCTACCTAAGAAATAAACGCCCCAACTGTTGCTATTATATTCAGCTTTAGTGTGAATTAAATAAAGTAATTAACATGTTAATTAGTGACTTTTAGAAGCACCATTGGTAGGCATTTTTTGTTAGCTTTGTATCGATACAGGCTAGCTGTTTCATTTGTCACAGACTGATGTGACAGGGGTATTAATCTTACTGAACTTGTAGCAAAAAACGTGAATAAGCATATTTCCCAAACTAATTTCCATGTAAGCTCATTGGCTAAACTGCTTATATTAAAAGACCATGAAGTCATAAATGATTGTAAAATTTTTACTGCACTTATATTTGACTTTCTTGGACACTGAAATATAAGAATCAGTAAAACCTTATCCAGGCAGAATGGAAGCTGCCCAGACAGACCTAATGGAAAGCCTCCAGCTTGCTGTATCTTGCAGTGTGCGGTAGCCAAAAGAAGAGCAACTCTGCCTCTGAGAAGTGTTCAAGCTTTAACTAAAACTCCAATCTGCTCATTTAAACACTGTGTGTGTTAGCCTAGAGTGTCTTGGTGGGGGTGGACTATGACACACAGAGACACACTGAGACACCCAGAGAGAAGTAGAATAAAAAGAGATGACTAACCTAACCCACCTGAGCTCGGCTCACAGGGATCAATGTCCTCATCATCGCTCGGACACTCAGCTGATGCCACCAGCAAGTCGTCGGTTGTCTGAAAAGAGAGAGTCACAGAGCGGAGTGGTGAGGGCATGAAATACTTAGCTGCATCAGTGGGGTAAGATATAGAAGAGCGGTGTTTCCAGAGGGTTAGGTTAAGGAGAGCGGGGCAGATGAGATGTGAATCCAGACAGCTACACTGTTTGGCTGCTGGATTTATCTGTCAACACGGTCACACGCTGCCTGGCGCTGTGGCAGCTGCTACACTGCTTTCCAGGCAACACTATACTTACAGAAATGAGATCTGATTATTGAGGAACAGCGGAGGCTAAAGTTCACAGCACAATTGTCAACTCGCATGCTCAATTTGTGCTGCAGTGTGTGGCTTTGCATAGCCCTTCAAGGGATTGTTAAGAGCCATCACAAAACACCTCTGACATTTGGAGGACAACCCGCCATGAACGCTTTAAAAAAAAAAAGAAAGAGACTGGAAAACAAAGGGCAGAGCAGCAGAGGTTTAAATCAATATTTTATGTTATTTCTTTCAATGTGATTCAGTATCTCTTTCGCAAAACAAGCGTCCAAGAAAACAAAACAATATCGTGGCACATATAGAGGTCCTTCATTATTTTGCTGCCACATCTACTCCAATACCAAATTAATTTCAGACTTTTTTTCAATGCAGTTCCTCACCTGCCAACCACGATACATTTTACCCCCTTGGAAAATGGGAAAGGGCAAACATAAGACCAGAAAAAAAGCATACTGTAAAACATTATACTGCAATGTTCTTTTATAGTCTTGCTTCAGGCCATTTGATCAGCTCTGCGTTAAAGGTCATTTCATTTAAGCATGGCAGCCTCTTCAGGGCCGGGTTAGATTTTCCGTTATGGAGCTCTGCTAAGCACAATAACCTGCTGCTATACATTTAGCCTTGCACCTCTACTTATCTGTTTTGTGCTAATATTTCTAAATCCCCAAATACATGCTTGACAAAACTTATTCTACTTAAACGTCTCATACTCTGACGAATGACAGCCACATAATGAAAAAAGAGAAAGGGGTAAGAAATGCATTAGGTACCAAAAATGAAGATGGACTTCGGCTTTTATTGAATTTGTTCTATTACTGACTTTGACTGCGCATCAAAACATTTCTGCAAGTTGGATTAGTATTGACTCATCTTAAGGAAATTAAAGGTGATGTCATTTTGCTTAACATCCATTTGGCTGCTCCTAATGCGATTTTATTGTGACTGTAAAATCATTTTGACATTCTGAACACGGACCAACATCATCTTTACATAATAGACCTGAAAATGATAGATCAAACCCATTAAGGGAGTTGTGGTGGAGGGCTGTTTTTGGTGCATCTGTGCCGGGTGAGGCCCGGGGAAGCCGTCCAAATGTAAATTTAATTTGCTGTGCATGAGGCTGATATACAGTGTCGGCCATCCAGATGGCAAAACCGCCGGATCCTGGAGTGCCACATCCATCACTTCAGCCTTGTGATTTGTTTTTCCTGGCGGGAGATCTTGACACTGCGCTCACTGCTCCTGGTACGGGAATCAAGGAATCAATACTCCCTCTCTCTCCCTCACACCTTACCGCTCTCATTCTCTCCCTCTCTCTATCTTTCACATCGCTCTCTCTCCCTTCAACTCTGTCCTTCAAATTTATTTGCAAGAGGAGAAGAGGAAGCAATGTGATGTGGGTGTAGTAGATGTAGGTTAACTCCCTGTAGAATAACCCGAGCGGAAGTGTATGCCCGTTCACATTTAGATGTTTCTGTCCCTTCATTCAGGCCAGAAAGCTACAACTCCAATCCAATAATGGATATGGAAATTAGATTGTCTAGTTACAAGAGAATCTTTGATTTTCTAATTAAAAGGTATAGAAGCCGAGTGCAGCTGCTTATGAGATAAATGTACAAGTTGTCTATTTTTTTTTACTTGGCTGTAAAGATAGGAGAAAATATGAACGTGTAGTTTGAGTTGAATTCTACCATCAGGTCTGACCTTTAGAAATAATAAATTATAGAGCAATACCAATAACTGTAAAGAGTGAATGAATGTAGGAGTGCACCTTGATTGAGACCGGCTAGCATGATATATATGTTCATAACAATGCCATAAAATAATGTCACACTCATTTCACCCTCCAAGGGCAAAGGCTGTGTGTGGATCTGTGTAAATGCAGCTCAATTGTGCCCGTAAGTCACCTCAGAGTCCAATCCTTCTTTCATCTTATCAAAATATCAACCCTATGCTACACTTCTAAATGAATCCTGTGTGTGTGTGGCGGGTGTAAGCCTCTGAATCAACACCAAAATGAATTCACATGTTACTGGGCATCAGTCTGCCTTCCAGGATTAGTTTGTAGGTCAACATTTTGATGTGGTCATGACCTGGTTGAAATCCAATAACATTACCAATTCATGGTGTCCTCCTCCAACGCTTGGCTTCTTTTTCACCCGTGACGATTCAATGTGGGCTATGTGACGGGCTTACCATGCAATTTAGCCACTGTGATGAAAACTGACAGGTAGCTTGGGTCGGACGCCAGAAAACAGAGATCTTTTTCTAAGGGAGATATCCTAAATAAATAAAAAAAAACAAAAAAAACAAAATAGGATATGCATGTGAGGATTTTGAAACTGCAGTAATTTTGAGTCGGAAATAAAAAAGTAGGTTTTCTCATTTATGAAAATTTCCAGGAATACAGTACGTTTTAAGGAGGGTTCATTAGCTCAGAAGAGTTAGGGTTACTCATGCGAGAAGCATCAGAGCATCATGCCCACAGGAAAGATGCTCCAATAGATAAGCGTATAAACAAGATGTACCTGTAGTTCATTTTATGAAGGTACTTCTAAAATGCTAAAAGCAAAGGCTCGGGGCTTGCAAAGCATCATTAATCTAGCGGTAAAGTGCTGAAGCCATGGTGAACCTACAGCACAGCTCATTTATCTGCCTCTGCTCAGAGCAGCTAGAGAGCACACTCCTGTGAGATGCACTGAGAAAACCTGGGGAGACAGTTTGTGAGTATGAAACACACAAAAAGTAGAAGAAAGAAGAAAAAAAAAAAGACACTGTAGAAAGAAACCTGCTTTTAGCGTTTATACAAAAGGTATGAAAACGTTCACAGTGTACAGTCGTTTCACATACTTAAGGTGTCAAGGGAGATCCACAGATTATATAAAGACACCAAGAAAAATGAATCTCAATATATCTTTTAGTAAAATAAAGCTATTGACTGACCTTGGCTCATGTACCGATTGAACCATCAAAGCGGACGTGGACCAGGAAATTCCAACCTGACTCAGCCTAAAGGCGCCCTGGTGCTTTCTTTAGCACTGTCATGCTGGTTTCGATCTCTGAGGATTGATAATGGTCCTCCTTAATGAGATGTCCAGGCCAAGCCGTGGTCCGCATGTGCTCGCTAACACTTAGTCAGCAGTCTCATTCTGCTGGACACCAGGTTATCTACTACCCTATAAACACTTATCTGCTCCCCGTTAATGCTCAACTACTCGGTGTCCAATGCCACTCTCTAATAACTGCTGTTTGGAGCAGGTGGCATTAAAGTGGTACACTACATTTGTACACTTCCCTCCTCTCTGAATGCATGTGCTCCCCTCTTATTCTTTGGCTGTGCAGGGAGAGAGTCAGGGAGAGAGGCAGGAAGGGGGGGGGGGGGGGGGGGCTCTTCAGGGAGGATGCTGTGTGCTGCTGGCCCCCGGTGCTCGAGAGCAAGAGACACCTTCTCTGTGATAACCTGTCGGCATGTCTCTATGGAGAGCCGTGGGGTTTTCACATTGTTTTCTCTCTGGTCTAATTTGATGAATGCTCTCTGGCACACAACACGTCTCTTTGGAGACGAGCTGAAAGTCAGGAGGACACTGAAGGCATCTGAAGGGTTTATCTGAAGCATGCCTCTACTGTCCTGGTAATGTATTCCACTGAGGATGCTTGCTGTTTTCTTTTGCCTCTCTGCTTGTTTTTTTTTTTTTTTCACCTTAGTACGCCATGTTTTTGTCCAATATAAGCTCTTGTTTCGCAAAGCTCTTTCTCCCGCTATATTGCTGATCAGTGACAATAAGAAAATTGATTTTTTTTTTTATTCAATGTCTCAATTAAGATCTGGTGTAAATGGTGTAAAGCCCAATACTTTTTGAGCAGTGCTGTTATCAGCCAGTAAATTGTGGCTTGATTGAAAAATCGAAGAGAATATGGTTCAACTGCACACAATCATCAGTCATAAAAAGCCTTCCTCTTCATCTGCTAAACTGCACGTAGATTTTGCCTCACTATGTCTGATCCTTCATGTCCATGACCCATATGCTCACACTGTACAGAGTCCATTAGATCTAAGCGTCCGTCTGAATAACTGTCCCCCACGGGCTGTCACTATTTTCAGACAAGGCCATGCAAGTAAGAAATCACTGATACCAGAGGCGGAGTGCGTGAAAGTCTCTCCACCCGAGAATATTCATCAAATGTTAAAAAAAAAAAAACGTAAAACTACACATTTATTTTCTATGTGTGTTTTTAATAATTAGCTTTTATTCTAATACCACATTTTCTACCAACAGAGGTTTTAGTATCTTAACCACTTGTATGAAAAAGGGATCTCAGGATGTTCAGCAGCATAATGTGGGATATGTATTTCACTTACAGATGGATTGTGTTTGCTGAAATATCAGGCAATTAACTACTAATTAGCTACTAATTATAATATTTGAAAGTGCCAAGGGTATTGCTCCACCAGTTATAATGATAGCTTGAACATTTTGTAAACATAAAAAAAAGAATGCATTCTTTTCTATATTTTTGTTTTATTTAACCAGGAGGGCTAAATGAACAGAGAATATACTTTAGCCTTTCTAAATATAATTAGCCTTTGTAACTCAGAAGTCAGAACAAACACAGGACACGGGGAATAATATCGGTGCAAAGTGAGAAAAATCTCTGACAGCTACAAGGTTGTTCATATTGTTCTTGGCACAACCTTCATGTTTCTTTTTTTCCCCCCATTTTCTCATAATAATCCTGGATAA